CTACTGCCAGAAGCGCTGCAGTTATTGCAGCTTCAACAAGTACATCCCCCGCGGCGTGGAGGAGGCTGCCATGCGGAAGTGCCTGGTGACCGAGGCGCAGACGCTGCTGCGGCTCGGCGGGGTGCGACGGTGGGTACTGGAGGCTGCAGGCAGGGCCGTGGGAATTATTTGGGGGAGAGGAGAGGACAGGTACGTGCATCCCAGCGGGCTTCCCCGGGTCTCATCTCATTCATTCTCTTCCCCCAGGGTGGAGTCTGTGTTCTTTGGTGGGGGGACCCCCAGTGGCTGCTGTCCTGGAGGGGGTGGCACGGGCAGCCTACCTGCCTGCGGACTCCGAAGTCACATTGGAAGCGAATCCCACTTCTACCTCTGGCTCCAGGCTGGCGGAGTTCGGGGCCGCAGGAGTCAACAGGTTGTCCATCGGTCTCCAGGTAACCCATCGCACCCACCCCATCCCAGTGCACCCAGACCTTCCATGCTGCCTCCCCTTTGGTTGATTCATTCACTTGGCAAACATTTATTGAGCTCCTTCTGGGTGCCAGGGCCCAGTACACAGTAGGCCCTTTGGCGACACTTTTGTAGACTTTTGTAACTACTTAATTGCCTGCCTCTGTACTAGACCATAAGCTCCCCGAGGAAGGGATCCGCCATGCCTTTTTGTTTTTCATGGTCTCACCATAGTGTGTGGCACGTAGTAGGTGTTCAAAAAGGATTTGTTACTTGAATGGAGACACAGTGGAGGCAGGCACTTCAGCAGTCAGATCATTGCAGATGGTAAATGCTCCCTATAAAGGGGGTCTCTACAAAAGGCTTTCGGAGTACAGCCTGAATGTCAGCTCAGCCGTATGAAATCATGGAAACCTCACTGGAGGAGGTGACATTTGAATAAGGAAGAGTTCATCAGGTGAGAGGGTGTGGGAGGAGAAGACAGGCTATGGAAGAGCAGTGCATGCTTCGGGGGAGGTGTGTGTCATCCCTTGTGACTGGAGAGGCTGGAGACAAGGCTGCAAGGTGGGGTCCTAAAGCCCTTGGTGCCTACTAAGAGGTTTGGGTTTTTTCCTGGTAGTAACAGGGGAGTCATTGAAGGTGTTTAAGCAGAGAGAAGCCAGTTCTTCTCAGGCTGGTGTCTCATATTTCCACAGGGTTTTGGGGTCCTGGGGTTTGTCCTGATGAGGGCATATCATGTCTAAGATATTCTTGCCTAAAATGCATATCTTGACTCTAACTGTGAGGAAATGTCAGGAAAGCCTAAATTAAGACACTTCTAAAAAAATTATTGAGAACAGAGAACATGCGATCTATCCTCTTAACATATATTTACGTGGATAATATTGTTAACTATACACATAGTGTTGTACAGCCAATCTCTAGAACATACTCATTTTAGAAAACAACTGACCTGGCTGGGTGCGGTGGCTCAAGCCTGTAAACCCAGCACTTTGGGAGGCCGAGGCAAGAGGATTGCCTGAGTTCAGGAGTTCGAGACCAGCCTGGGCAACTTGGTGAGACCTTGTCTCTACAGTAAATCAAAAAAATAAGCCGGGCATGGTAACACACACCTGTAGCTCCAGCTACTTGGAAGGCTGAGGCAGAAGGATCACCTGAACCCAGCAGGTCGAGGCTGTGGTGGCCATGAGCATGCCACTGCGCTCCAGCCTGGGCAACAGAGTGAGACTGACTCAAAAAAAAAAAAAAAAAAAAAGAAAAGAAAAGAAACAACTTACCTATAATTTTTTAAAATGTCAGTGTTATGAAAGATAAAGAAAGGCTGAGAATCCGAAGTTGATTAAAGGAAACAAAAGAGATGGTTGAGGCCAGGCTCAGTGGCTTGTACCTGTAATCTCAGTGGAAGCTGAGGTGGGAGGATCACCTGAGGCTAAGAGCTCAAGACCAGGCTGAGCAATATAGCAAGACCTCGTCTCTATTTAAAAAAAAAAAAAGAGAGAGAGGAAGAGTTGAATGTGTGGCCCCTGATTTGGGTGGAAGGAGAAATAACTTCAGTAGACATTACTGGGACAATTAGCCAAATTTGAATATGACTATGTATTAGGTAATGGTATCATATCAATGTTACATTTCCTGAACTCTATAACTGGGTTGCGGTTATGTAAGAGAATGTCCTTATTTTTAGGAATACACACATAAGTATTTTCAGGTTAAGGGCAGATAATATCTCTAACTGTAGTCCCTTAGCCACATGCTAGTGAGCACTTGAAAGGTGGTTATCAGCCAGGCGTGGTGGCTCACGCCTATAATCCCAGCACTTTGGGAGGCAGAGGCGAGAGGATTGCCTGAGCCCAGGGGTTCAAGACTGGCCTGAGCAACATGGTGAGACCTCATCACTACAATAAATTTTTTAAAAATGAGCTGGGCATGGTGGCACACTGTTGTAGTTCCAGCTACTTGGAAGGCTGAGGTGGAAGGATCACCTGAGCCCAGTAAGTCGAGGCTGCGAGCATGCCACTGTACTCCAGCCTGGGCAGCAGAGTGAGACTCTGACTCAAAAAAAAAAAAAAAAGGTGGTTATCTAGGTTTAAGTTATTTTGGACAGTACTGGTCTATAACTTACTCTCAGCTGATTTGACATAATAACAATAATATAGATGTATATCTGGAGAGAAAGAGACACAAAGTAACTGTGGGGAAATCTAGAAATCGGTGAATCTAGATGAAGATGTTTATTGTGCTTTTCTTTCAGTTTCTTCTTTTTTTATATAGAGGCAGAGTCTAGCTATTTGCCCAGGCTAGTCTCGAGCTCTTGGGCTCAAGTGATCATCCCACCTCAGCCTCCGATTAGCTAGAACTACAGGTGCATGCCACCGTGCCTGACTAATTTTAAAAAATTGAGGGGTGGGGGTTGAAACAAAACTTTATTGTCTTACAAGTCTGGAGATCAGGATTCTTAAATAGGTTTCAGTGGGCTAAAATCAAGGTGTTGGCATAATTGTGTTCCTTCTAGAGGTCCTAAGGGATAATCCATTTCCTTGCCTCTTCTAGTTTTTGAAGGCTTCTGCATTTCTTGGTTTGAAGCCCCTTCCTCCATGTTCGAAGTCAACAGTTGCTCCTCTCCGATCTCTTCTTCCATTATCACATCTTCTCAAAAAATATATTTTTTAGAGACACGTCTCTACAAAAGTGTCCTGTTCTCAAACGATGCTCCTGCCTCAGCCTCCCTAAGTGCTGGGATTATAGATGTGAGCCACCACACCTAGCCTCTTTCAGCTTTTGTATAGGTTAGAATTATTTTATTTTATTTATTTTATTTTTTTATTTTTTATTTTTTGAGTTGGAGTCTCACTCAGTCGCCCAGACTGGAGTGCAGT